TGAACATTGCAATGACTACTTTGAGTTCGAAGATTCTCTCACAAGACAAGGAGCATTTTGCAAAATTAGCTGTGGATGCTGTTATGAGATTAAAGGTGAACTGTGACAATCTTACTGAATACCACTTTCAATTTTAGTGGATTTAGGGAATTGTGTGTGCACTGTTTTGCCAAGTCTTCTCCTTCTGATGATTTCTGTCTTGGTATGCTAGATTCAATTTTGGTCTATATTTGATTCTTCCACATACTTGGATACAAACATAAAAGTATGTTATTTGAAAGTTTGATTACTAAACTTCTATATGATCCTACAGTTTTATAGTAAATTCTTATGAATGTTTCTTTTTCAAATATTTTCCAATTTATGAATAATAAGCTTTAATTTTTTTATTATGATTTTATAATGGTGAGTTTGGAATACTTTGTGAAGACTGTTGCTGGAATAATTGTTTCAACTTGGTAATTTTTTGCTCGGTTATGACATTTTTGTCTGGAGCAGTGATTTTCCTCTTTCTAAAAGTCTAATTTTGACAAGTAGGTGTTCTTTAGTTGACTTGTTAATTTGTGATATATTTATTCAATTTTTGCACTGTGCGAACTATGCATGCAGATGTGATTATGCCTCAACATTGTGTGAGGTTGTGAGCTATTCTGTGATGAAGTTTCCTGTCTTTTCATTTTCTTGTATCTGGCTTTTCAATTATGTGTTTCAAATGCAGGGAAGCACTAATTTAGAGGCTATCCAGATTATAAAGAAACCTGGAGGATCACTAAAGGACTCTTTTTTAGATGAAGGGTAATATTGCTGAAAAGTTAAACAACTTTGCAATTATGAATAGGATTGCTGCAACCTGTTTTTGAGTCCTGGTGTCTCTTTTTTGGTATTGAGTTGCACAGACAGCCTTCAAGGAATTTTTTTGAAGTCAAATGATTATTAACTTCCTACACTTTTCTGTACAATTATGCATTTGCATTAATAATCTTGTGTTTATGTCAATTCTTGTGTTACTCTGGGTAAAAACTAAGCTTTCTGAATTGGATTCATATTTTTGTTCAGATTCATTCTTGACAAGAAAATTGGTATTGGACAACCGAAGCGGATAGAGAATGCAAAAATATTGGTTGCTAACACTGCCATGGACACAGACAAGGTGAAGATATATGGTGCACGTGTTCGTGTTGATTCAATGGCTAGAGTTGCCCAGATTGAAGCAGCAGAGAAGGAGAAAATGAGAGAAAAAGTGCAGAAGATAATAGGTCATGGTATCAACTGTTTTGTTAATAGACAGTTAATTTACAACTTTCCAGAGGAGCTCTTTGCTGATGCGGGAATATTGGCTATTGAGCATGCTGATTTTGATGGTATTGAGCGTCTGGCATTGGTAACTGGTGGTGAAATTGCGTCAACCTTTGACAATCCTGAGTCTGTTAAGCTTGGGCACTGTGACCTAATTGAGGAGATTATGATTGGGGAGGATAAACTCATTCATTTTTCTGGTGTTGCTATGGGGCAGGCATGTACAATAGTTCTGAGAGGTGCTAGGTACTTTATACTTCTGAGGTTTTGATTTTGAGATTTCCTATCCAATATTTGTTTTTTATGTGGGCATTTTGATCCTGTTTACATTTTACATCAAATCATCTTTTTCCCGTCTGATATTTTTTTGAATTCTGGCAGTAGGGTTTGTTTTTGATGTATCACTTATATTCATGGTGGGTCATATTACTCCCCTCTATGCTGTTGCTGTTTTGATTTATTAAAATTTCACATCAAGAATCCTAATTTTTTATATTTTTTTCCTTTCAGAAAATTGGATATACTTATTGAGCCCAATGATTTCACTATTGACTGCTGGAATTTTGAATTTTACTTGCTTTTATGCATGTGTTCATGTATGATCATGCTATGTTAGGTTGTAATTCTATGTAGTCCCATCCAATTTTTTAGTGTTTAAAATAGTGCATTGTTAGCTGGCATGTATAGGAGTGTTATATGCTTGAGTAGACATCTGTTCTTCAACAAACTTGAATGAATATTTTGTTTTTTGTGTTCAAGTTTGATATATATTCTTTTGTGGCAGCCACCATGTTCTTGATGAAGCTGAGAGGTCATTGCATGATGCCTTGTGTGTGCTGTCTCAGACTGTCAATGACAGCAGGGTGTTGCTTGGAGGTGGGTGGCCTGAGATGGTGATGGCCAAGGAAGTGGATGAGTTGGCTAGGAAAACTCCTGGAAAGAAGTCTCTTGCTATTGAGGCATTCTCCCGGGCACTCTTGACTATCCCAACAATCATCGCTGATAATGCTGGTTTGGACAGTGCTGAGTTGATTTCTCAGCTCCGTGCAGAGCACCAGAAGGAGGGCTGCACTGCAGGAATTGATGTCATTTCTGGTTCTGTAAGTATTGAAACAAAGAATCTGGTGGATTTTCTTGAGTGAGCATTATACATTTTGATGTAGGATACTTCCGTTTCTTTTTTCTAGTGGGTTTGTTGCTGCAAGTTGCACTCTTGCAGGAATATCTTCGAAGTTTTTTATTTGATTTATAATGTTTTTCTGTTCTTTGATTTATATAGGTAGCTTATCTATTTATGATTGCCCCATTCCCTGGTTATATTGTACTTGATACATGGTATATAGCATGCAGTGTCTCATTGAAATTTTTTCCAAGATTGACTCCCTGGTGGACACGTCTATCCAGGGGTTTGTGCCTAAAGCCTGTTGAGTTAGGATGAATACCTTGCATTATGTATAACTTATTCGTTAGAGAAGGTTATACGATTGTTTATATGTTATAATCTTCAAAGTATCCTGTAGCTGCTAGCTCGACTTGCTCCTTTTCTATTTTCTTCTGTTTGACTAACCTAGTTTGACCTGTGTCGTATTTCTGAAAGGTTGGAGACATGGGTGAACTGGGGATATCTGAAGCATTCAAAGTCAAGCAAGCAGTATTGCTATCTTCAACAGAGGCAGCTGAGATGATCCTCAGAGTAGATGAAATCATCACCTGTGCTCCCCGGAGGAGAGAAGATAGAATGTAAAAAATATGGCGACGAGTCACTCAGGTGCACGCTGCCGGATTGGGGTGGGTGATTTGGGGATATGGGGTAGATTGGTACTCTTATTACGAGGTGTTGCATTTTATTGAGAACTTTTTATTCCTGCCCTGTAATTAGGAGTTGGATTATTCTATTTGAATTGCAGGACATTATCTTCTAGTGATTTGGGGATTTTTCTTCTAACTTGTGTCATTAAAGATAATATCCATTCTTTACGAAGAATTTTGAAACAATGTCAACCTTATGTTCTGCGTAATCTTTAACTAGCAGAATCGAATTTGGTTCTTTTCTCTATTTTAATGTAATATGCATAAAATTAATATGGAAAATTACTGTCAATCCAAAACTGTAGGGTAAAGGATATCTGCATCCTATGTTTAAAGTAATTGCCTCCAATATCTCCCGCTCTGTACATATTTCACTCTGTTCATATAACGATTGAACGTGTTCGCGGATGAGAGAAAGACATTCACCTATTCGTATTTTAAATTGAATCGTGATGGATGGTTTAAAATAAGTTTTTTTCTTTTTTGGTAATTTATTAACACGCATTGCAAATTTTAATCTATTCAGTTTATTTAACAAATAATCGCTAAATTTATTCATTAACCATTTATTGAGATTTTTTTTTGTACAATAGTTTAACATTTAAACATTTTTTCACATTTAAGTATTAGAGTTATAGACTCCTTCAAGATTTATGTTCAAGCAATAGATTTTGGACTATTTAACTCGACAAATTATAAAATGAATAATTTACTGTTCATCTAATAATGAATAGTGATATAACATGAACCCATTAATCTAAACCCATTTATTTATATATTTATAAATTTATTGCCCCCAGTCCACTATCAAAGTTGGTTGAACTTGTATATCCTTATAAAAATTGTTTGGTTCAGTCCTTAATTTTTAGCATTAAGGGATATGACACAACTAAATTATACTAGGTGTCAATATCTGTCACGTATCACTTATTGGAACAGAAATAATGCTAGGGGTCTAAAACTAAAAGCATGGATTTCAATAAGATCGGGACCCGATAATTTTTTTCATCAAACTATATCAAAACTATTTTTTAAACTTATTTTAAAAATATAATTGAATTGTATGAGATATTCCCTCAGTTCTTTCTTTTTCATGTTTTTAAGAAAATTTTTGTTTTAAATGTTATTTTTAAAAGTTCAAGACACCATTAAATTTTTTTATTAATTATAATTATAATTTAAAAAAGGAATAATTAATTAATAAAATAGATAAAAACGATATTATAGAAAATTAGGTGATAATTTTAATAAAATAAAACTATTAAATCTATTTATTAATTTCTGTCAACTCCTTAATAAAATGATTGACAAAATAAAAAAAGTTTGGGAGAATTACTTACTAATAAGTTCATGGCCCCAAAATTGCATGGTTACAAAATTTAAAGAGACGTGTGTTAACATAATGGAATATTTAAAGGATTCACTTTTGTAAGAATTTAAATTAATAGTGTAATAGTAGTGTTTATAGATAGATTTGATTGTACTTTTGATATCTTTAATTTAGACTATATGTAATTTAAGTCTCAGTTTTTTTTAATTAAATTTGTTTATTTTTAAAATAATACAAATTAAGATATCATAATATCCATAAGACTGGCATTTTTAGTTTCTCTAATTTAATTACGTGCACAACTTTTTACTCATTTTACACATTTTTGTTATATTACTCATTATATTTATTCTTTTTTTCTCTCTTTCTATTTCCTCCTAAAACGTGTACATTCCAAAAAGTGTGAAAAGTCTATTTGGTTTTAATCACGGTTAAAAGCATCCCCGTAATTAAGAACTAAACATGGACGTGGTCTCATTTAGTCTTTTCCAAAAAAATACAATTAAATATTACCTTTTTTATCTGTTTCATTTAACATATGATATACATATAGTTTTTTGTTGCACTTTATTCATAAATAGTCCATCATCCTTGCACATTGAGCCATTTATAATTCAAACACCAGGCTCTAAGTTAAAATAGTATCAAGTCATTTTAAAAGCTATAAGTTGAAGATCATTTGATCGCATACTTGAGGAGGCCAGGAATGTGTGCGTTCATCATATATTCAGTCCAATCAATGCTTTTGGGGTCAAAGTCTAACCCAACATCCTCCACGGGAAGATGATCCTTTGTTACCTTTCGTAAATTTTCTGTGTTTGTGTCGTCAAAGCTGAAATTACGAATAATTAATATTTCATTAGTATGAAAAAAATCAAAATATGACAATCGTAAATAGTTTATAATCATTAGAGGACCATAAATTACATACACGACTTTAGAAAAAATATATGGTTTGTATAGTTCTGCTAGACGCATCACCATTTTGATTTTTCTGTTGTTGACGTCATAAACATCTTTGAATAATTGGCACGACACTTTGTTCACCAAATTTAAGACCTTGCAAAGTGTCAAAATCATGTGAAAGGATCAATCAGAACACTTAAAGGATGAACAAAAGTATATAGTTTGCTTGTTGAATGTTGAAAGGATCAACCAAACCTGTAGTGGCAAGACATATCGGATTTTCATATAACTGTTGAATGCAGCAATATTTGTCAACAAAGTTCCTTTGGAAATGACTATTGGTTTTCCATTTTCATTTTTGCACGGAGTTTTCAAGAAAGTGTGATAGGAAATATTATGAACATCTGAAAATTTGAGAGGATTTCTTAACGAAGAACCAATGTGGTAGATGAAATTTCTGGGAGCTTTATTTGAATGAGCGACAATGGCTGTGATCACACAATTGATCACCAAGTCTGCAGGTATCTGCATGCATATCATTTTAATTGCAAAAAACTGGAAACAGTGGTTGTAGATGTAAAAGAACAAATTAAAAGATATCATTAGCATAAACTTGTGATTTTTCGTTTGTCACTTGATTAAATATAATAAGTGAAAGTATCAAGTAAAAATGTAACCACAGCCAAATTTAAGTAACTTACCGTATCTACAATTGTCTTAGGATGACCAGGAAAGCAAGTTATTTTCCCTTGACCATAGCCAACAATTATGCTGTCAAGTGTTCTGTAATCACAAAATAAAATGTATATTTTTTAACACGTTTTCTTATCTAGAAAATACGTCTCAGAGATCTTGCATACAAAATTTAACCATAACTTCAACTTATCAGTAGAATTAAAAAAATTGAAAAGAAATTATTCTTTAAATTCACATTTAAAACATTTTAAGTAATGAATTCAATATACCTTAAACCTTCCATCCAACCAGGAAAGGGATCCTTGTATGTACTGGTTACCATGGTGGGTCGTATAATTGTTAATGGCACATCATCTTTATGGTGCATAACAAGCATTTCCCCCATTGCTTTTGTGAATACGTATGTGTTTGGCCAACCATACAATTTTGCTCTGGTTTTGCATTAATTCAAAATATCATAAATCTAATGTTAGATTAACAGATGTCATATATATAACACCCATTAAACAACACAATAATTATTTATCGAACCTTTCAATTCCATAATCTTTCATTGCAAATTTGAATGTGCTTTCACTAGCATTTTTTGCTCGGAGTTCATCCATTTTTTTCTCCATCAAATTCATTTCTGCATGTATGTCTAATTTTAATGCCCCTTTTAGGCTTCGACCCATTTGAAATGGTTTCTCCAGTAGAATTGCTTCTCCATCCTTAGCCTCTCCGTATACATAAGCTACAATTTTTTAATGTGAAGAAAAAAGCATAGTCAGTAGTACGTAGCTAACTGTGGGAAGCTAAATGCTTTAGTACATAAAGTAGGGTTAGTTACTTTGTGCTTTGTACTTACCAGTTGATATGTGGACAAGAATCTCCATTCTATGACATTTTTTTGCAAAATTTAAGACATGTAATGCTCCCATTGTATTTACACCCATTGAAATGTCAAATCTGTAGAGAAAATTTTAGTCAAAATGATCAAAATTTATTTCAGAAGCAAAATATTTTAGTAGCAGTATTTGATTGTCACCTTTCATCAAATTTGGTAGATGCTGCAGAATTCACAATGATGTCTATCTCGTCCAACATCTCATTGTTCAGATTTTCATCTTTCAGCCCCAAATTCTCAAGAGACACATCTCCTGCAATGGCCACTAGCTTCTCCGATATGAGAGAGTCAAAATCTTCACCCCACTTATCTCGTAGCACTTTAAACAAATCTTTTTGAATGACCTGTTACATAAAGATATCAAGTAATGAGTAATAATGTATGTTATAAATTAATATTCATAAAATGCATGCATTCTATCTATTATTCTAAATTAATTGAATAATATTGACAACGTACCTCATTTTGCAAACGACGTGTGGCCAACTCAGTGTTTAGAGCTCTTACAAGAAGATACAGTTTTTTAATCTCAGGTTGGATCCTCAGTATCTTTTCCAATAAAACTGCATGTATAGACTATTTCAATGACAAAAATGATATTTCAAATTATTTTCTAGTTACTTAACTACTAAAGATGCATGGTACAAGTACGTAGTAATACCCTTTGCTAAGTAACCCGTTGTTCCTGTGACTAAAATAGTCTTTCCCTTAAGAAAATGTTGTACCCTTCTTGTGTCCATTGTGAAGAAAGAAAAAAGCTAGTTGATGTTTTGTATACTATAAAAAATGATGACTGTGTCGTGTTTATCATCACAAAAGACCTTATTTATACACATATCACTTCTATATCATTCCTTTCTTATTAAATGAGTATGCCCAATGACAATGTCAGATATAAAGTTTTAAAAAAGGTAAATAGTGTCTTCTTGAATTCATCAAAGTGACCGTAAATTTTTTTTTCATTGGGTGACAAATGATTTTAAATAAAATTTAAATATATCTTGTATATCAAATTTAAACAGTGTCTTTTCTTTTGACATCATTTTTTTTTTATGTTTAAGAATATTATGATAATATTGTTATTTAAGAAGCTTTATTTTATGGATTTCTTATATATCAGTCTTATTTTCAATAAATTATTAGTATTAAGGTATGCATGATAATTTTGCCATTATCAGTCTTTAAGAATCGTGTTAAAGAAATAAAAGTTGGTTTTCATTAAAAATAAAAAATGACTTATATTTTTTTATGTAATAATTAGATATTTTAAATAAAAGTTATTTTTTACACAAGGGAATTTTCCTTAATTTACGTAAGTGTTATTAATTAAAAAGCTAAAAAAATATTACAGGATTATTTTAAAATTCAATAAAATTTATTTATTATTAATATTTTATTATATTAAATATGATTGAATTAAAGAGATAATAAAATTTTTAAAATTATAAAAATTTAAAATAAATAAATTTTTAATTTGATGTAGTTGTGGAACATATTTAAACAAAACTAAAATTAAAATAAAGAAATGGTATTTAAAAAGAATAAAAATTAACTAGTTAAAAAAATCAAGTGGCATAAGGAAGAGAATAATTTTTAAAATATTATTGATTTAAATTGGAAACATAAATTAAATATATAAAGGTACATCAATATTAAAAAATGATGTTAATAAAATGATACTTTTTGTGTGATTATTTATGCTAATTGAGAATTCTTTAATGATTTGTTTGATAATGATTACAATAATATGATAAGATATACTATTATATTCTATTTTAATATATTGTTTGGTAAGTTAGGGGATAGATTAAGTCTATCTTGTTAATTATCATATATTATTTACTAGTTTAAAATTTATTATTAAAGAGAGTTGGATTAAAAATTAATAATAATATATGATAAAAAAATTCTTTTATTTTTACCATTCATTACAAAATATTTTTGTTTTGCCACTTTCACAATTGTTGTTATTGTAAGTGACATTGTATAACTTTTTCTATCACCATCACACTAATATATTATTTAGCACTTTACAATTACTTATTATCATAAACACAATTATTACAAATTTTATCTTCTCTATGTTATTACTTTCTCTACTGTTATACTTAATATTATTATCATTATTATCATAATTACGGTCATCATCAATTCCAAGTTTATAATTACAATAATTTTATCACAATTATTATTATAACTCATCTAAAAAATTAAAGGTTTTTAGGCATATTTCATTAAATTTAAATTATAAGTTAATGCAATTAATTAAGAAATTCAACGAAATGTTGTATTTGCTGAAAAATTCATAAATCACTCATATTCTGATGATTGACAGTTTTATTTTGATGAGATTAGAAAGAAATTTGCAATTGTACCTTAAGAGCTAAAGATAAATGTTGTAGGACTCATTTGTGGGGACACAAATTCCTGATTGTGGAGACACGATACTGATTGAGGATATAAAAGCGAAAAAATTCTAAAAAAAAACATCTTTTACTTTTCTGTCTTTTACAATTTTAGAGCGCAAAAACTTAGGTTTTACATACAGCTTACGTAAAATATGGTAGTTAGAGTATTTTTTTTACATTTTTGTTAGAGGATTCTGATGGGAACTTGGATTTCATTTCTTTTTCTCTGGTTTATGTAATAGAATAGTAACTTTCTCATTTCATTCACTTACTGTAAGCTCTTCTCTTCTGTAAACATAAATTCAGTATTTGCAATATATTTTAGTTTTATATTATCTCTTTGCATTATGTCTAGCTAGATAGCTTTGGGTTAAGTGAGGATTAACTTATACCTTTTCTCTTTGCAATAAGCTAACACTGGATATAGCTCAAGATACATGCTTTAATCTAACATCTTAATTCTGAACTTAATGCTTCCTTATTTTACGTGAATGAACTTGATGAAAAAGAGTTTATTATTGGAAAGTAGTAAGCTTTCTTAGACTGTGATTAATTTGCTCATTATAAATTATCTAAGAATAGAAATTTGTGATGATGCGATCAATGGATTTAATTCTTAATATTGAATGTCTTTAGTTGTATCTAAGGAATTAAAACACTAATTTTATTTTAGAACTAATTACCAAAGAATTGTGGTTGAGTACTTTAGAAAATCTGACTATTAGATAAAGTTGTATTTTGAGTTATAAATTTATTTGTATGCAAAGGGAAAGGAATAAGGGATTTTGAACTCAACCTACTTTAAATTGTTATTAGACCCAATCTCAGTACTCACAATATTTACATTCTGCAGTTAGTTTACTTTGTGTTTCCAAATCTAGTTTTTCATTCTGCATATTTATATAATTAAATTTCAGCATTTTAATTTAGTTTCTATAATTCTGTACTTAATTAATTTTTATTTTATTTCTACTCTGTTTTTTGTGACCTAACTAGTGTCATTCTTGTGGTTTAATACTTAATATTAATCTCTGGGACGATAAATCTTTTATTATTTCAATGATTTAGTGCACTTGCCAAAAAGTTTATCGCTCATATCATCGTCACATTTAATACTATTACTAATATTATGTTGTCATTATAATTATTATTACTATTATTATTTTACATTTTATATTACAATTTTAAAATTATCTTGTGTGCACTAAATACAATATTTAAATAAAAATTTATTTATTTTATACTTTTTTGTACTATTTTTTTATGTTCTATATGTCTTTATTTCATTTAAATTTTCAAATAAATTCAAAAATATTATTTTAAATATTAGATTATTTGTTTTAGAAACAAATAGGAGATTGGAGGGAATTGTTTTTTCAGAATTAAAGGAAATAATTTAAGTGCGGGATGCAGGTTTGGTGTATATATAGATCAACATTATCTGCCTTAGTCCATGATGCACTTGCACTTAGATTACTTGACATTTAACTAGCCCACTTAAGAAGATTGTTAAAAAGATTGAAATGCGAATCAGCTTACACATTCATCTTTCATGTTTTATTTTAAATTAATTTATGCAAATAAATAAGTTCGGCTCCATTAGAAACAAATATTTGAAAATTTATATTACAGATTGTAGTTTGCTGATAAGACAGCTGTAAACTTATAGTTTATAATTATTTGATCAGATTAAAGCTGTTTAATAAAATTAATTAAAAAGTGTTAAATAATTAAAAAATGAAGTTAATAAAGTAAAAAATACTAAAAATATCTTTTAATAAATTAAATTATACTTAAAACAACTTATTTTATAAACTACCTTTAATAAAAGTATAAGTTTTTTGTTTTCACTAACAACTCTATTAACTTATATATAAAAAAAAAAAAACGAACTCTTAAATAAATTAAAATTTTGTCCCATCAAACACATTCCAAATGAACTTCTAATTAAGGAAATTAAGAGTTTATGGTCCAAATCCAGCGAGGCCATATGTTATAATTATATGGACCAAAACTCATGCACATCATGTTCAGACAGTTCAGTGATTTGAAATAATCATTTATATTAACGAGCATCTCAGTCTCTCATTTAATAAAATAAATTTTTTAATTATATTAATAATATAAAAATAATCAATACAAGCTATGTCAATGATTAAAATTAAAATACATAAATATTAAAATTTTTATCTATAATTATTTTATGCGTAATGATTGATTGTTTGTTTCTTGTCATGGCTATACACTACTACATAGAATGACTTTTTAACTTTTTTAAAAGACATATTTTGTTAGCAATGTAGAACTGTTAACTATGTGATCACTAAATTAAATGAAGTGCTTAAGAAAGTTACAAGAGAGAAAATTTGAATTGTGGCTTTTAAAATTTTTAACTTAAAAACTCAAAGCTTTCTGATTTTATATTCAATTATGTACTTGATTCACTAAAATTCTTCAGAAAAGCAAAAATTGAGTACAAATGTTATGGAGTAATCTTCGGAAGAACAAAATCAATCTTATAAATGAAAGGTCAAAAATATAATTATCTTAATAGCAAAACCTAAGTTATAAAGAAATTTTAATTTGATATAAAATAAAATATTTGCTCAAAAGCTTGTTTTCAAAATATATGAACACAAAACTTAGAGAATCTTAAATATATTTCCTTTAAGCTTTGAAATAACGCCTCCTCTTTCTTCATACTTTAGTAATTTTATTTTTTTCATTTTTATTGTCATTTTATTAAGTTAATGAATAGTTAATATTTTTTATAATTTTATCTTTAATAATTAATATTTATTTAATAGAGATTATAAACAAGTGAGATATTAATAATATAATAGATAATAGATAATAGATACAATAGGAAGTTAAGTAATTAACTTTTTTTTTTATATATAAATTTTAGAATATCAATCATTATTTTGGTTTTTGTGCTTTTAAATGCAAAAAAAAGAATAAATATTTCTAATCCATTAAAAATAATATAATTATGTTTAGAATACGCTTATAGATAAAAATATAATGTTTAAAAGATTAATTTTCAAAGCTATTCTATAATTCGACATTATGAAATAATAAACATCAACAAATAAAAAGGATAAAGCGTATAGTATGGTCTAAACATTTATCCTAATTTACCATTAATAGATTATTCTTAATATATTGTTTATCAATTGATCAGTCGCTATATTGTAATTAATAATGATATTATGAGATGACTTGAGTTTAGTGGGTTAATCATAAATTCATCACTTTCAATATTTTCAATATTTCACACTTTCTGGTTTTCTTGATTATCGCCTTGTATGATTATTGAAGATGATGGATACTATATATATATATAAACTTCGTATGATTGTTAAATGCTAGTAAAAATTGAACGAGTAATTAATAATTGAAAAGTAAATTACAAACAAATTGAATCATATAGTAATAATCACATAAGTGAAATTAGATACTCTAAAATTGCTTTTTTAAGATAATTAAGTCTTTATATTTTTAAAATTGTATAATTTAATGATCTCCTATTATTTTTTTATTTAAAATTCTTAATTTTTGATTTCTTACTCAAAATATTTACAGATTAAATTAATTAAATTAACTTCTATACAAAAATTAATCAATTAAAATATCAAATTTTATCTAAAATAAAAATATTTAGATTTTTTCTATTAGATTTTTATTTTTCAAACCTTGATTGCATATATTGTAAAATATTTTAATTTTGATAAATGATACATTAGTTTTTTTTTAAAACCTTTAAAGTTATGAGTTTAGATTTGATTACACTATCAACTAATCAAAATACATTGAGAATACAATTTTCGTATGAATTATTATAGAAATTAATAATTCTTAGTAATATGTTAATTTGTGATTAGCTGACAATATAATTTTTTTTATACTATCAATATATTTAAATTTAAATTAAAAATTATTGTGTGTTCCATTTCCATTATAAATCCTCTAAAAAAATTGAATAAAAAAAATTGATAGAGATCAAATTAAAAAAAAATTAAAAATAGAAAAATCATCTAAGTAAAAAACTTTTAAGAGTCTAAAATTGCATATAGCTCACATTTAAAAGGCCAATGAATTGAAACCCTTTTTTTTTTTATAATTGCAATGATAGTTGGAGATTTCTTGCACACTGGATTCTTTGTTTTTTCCCTTTTTGTAGGCTTAAATTCTATGGCAATCAACTATAACAATCATGTTATCTAAATAATTGAGGAATTAATTGATTTGATAGTTAACTGTGACATTTCCTGCTAAATGATATCTAACCTAACAGTACTCTTGGAATTTGTTTGCATCTGCCAAAATTAGAAAATAATCTCATTTTCTTTCTAATTTAATAATTATTCCTGTCCTCCATTTTGTTTCAAACCACAGAAAACTGATAATCAAACCACAGAATTGATTATGCAAACTTATTTGTGGTTCTTTATTAATTACGTTTGCTCATGTTCTTTTCCAAAAATGGGGGCAGGTTTAAGTTTCTATCATGCCACGTAGTAGACTGGATCCTCCTCTGCAGCAAGAGGGTTTTCTACTGCACAAATTTTAACTCTTTCATTTTTTAATTGTTGTGCAAAATTATATCAATAGTTTGAAATTTTTTAACATATTAGCGTCACCAAAATCTCACAGAAAAAGATCCAAAATAATTTTAACGTGTAAATGATAAATACTGACAAAATTATTATTAATTTATTAACTAATTAGTATACATTTAAGATGCTGGATAGTGTATATGAAATGATATTCTCAAACATATTTTTTAAAGCAGAAATTTTATTGTTAATTAAAATGATTAAGAATACAAAAAAATATGTGAATCACTACATGAATATCTTTGATATAATTTATGCTCAAAAGTGTGAAACAGTGAATTGGGGAGCTTTATTCTCGAGTGACTCGATCACTTGTTCGTTTTTCTTCAATTTTCTTAGGACTTCAAGTCTTAATTTGTAATATAAACTTTGATACCGTGTTAAAATTCAGAAGATTACATTTTACATTCCTTTTTTTACCTACACTCCTTTATCATTTTTGGTAATGTATTTCTAAAATTACTTCTGTCATTTCCTACATACACTTTATATTTTCTTCAAGCCATGACCTCTTCGTTCCAACACTACCCTTTGCACTATTGACTCATTTGCTAAGCAAGTTAATCTTATGGTACTCTTATATGTATATCGATTTGCGTTCAATGTTGTTGGTATATATATATTTTCTCGTTCTTGATGATTATTTTAGAAACGATATTTTGAATGTTACAAAAGCTAATTTTTAAAAGCCTTTTAATTTTTTTTCATATATCGAAAATTAGTTTTTGAAAGCTGTAAATATTATTCGAAATGCACTTCCAGAAACTAACTTTTGGAATGTGCAAAATAAGATTCAATGCCCTAAAATCCTGAAAATGAAAATTGCCCTTCGCTCTTAAAATTACAAGATTATAACTCTCAAACTAAGAAAACTCAAAACCCCATGTCGTCTTTGCTTTACCTTGCTCTTTTGGATCCTCTTCCTCCTTCATTATTAAGTTTAGGCGTGGCTTTCCACGAACGATGAATTTTGGAGGCTAGAAAATAAGAGATTATAGTTTATGGGGTTTGGGCTCAAACTAATGGATCATAGGTTTTGGGTTATAAAAATACTAATCGCTATATTTGGACTAACTTTTTCTCTTTTCTTCTTTCATTGTTTTTCTCATCTTTATGTTTTTAATTATAATTTTTTATTTTTTATTTTTATAATCATTCAAATGAATTTTTCAATACATTCAATTTTTTTTCCATTCTCGTTATTTAAATTCAGATTAACAAAAAGCATCATCCATCATATCCTTTCCATAAATTTTTAGAGGGAACTGTTTTTAATTTTGTAATATACTAAGCTTGTAGTTCCAACTATTTAATTTGAAGAAAAATTTAGAGATTATTTCAAAGCATTCTTTAGAAGACCAGGAATGTGAGTGTTAATCATTTAGTCTGTCCAATCAATGTTCTGGGGGTCAAAGTCTAATATAGCACCGTCCATGTTAAGACTTCCCTTTGTTGCTCTTCGTAAATTTTCTGTGTTTGTATCATCAAACCTGTAATTGAAAGTAATTCATATCTCATGAGTACGAACGTTATGAAATTAAGTAGTTCACTTATTATATCCAATAATTTTAAATAAATTACCAGTCCTAAAAATATCATAATTTTTTATTTTAATTTCTATAAAAAATTATTTAACTTTAGTTCGTATATTTTTTAAAAAATAATATAATTTCAGTTTTTTTTGTCAAAAACTATAAATTACATAATTTTTGTAATTATATAAAGACTAAAATTAAATAAAATATCGTAAAAAAAAATTATGATATATAGACCAAGAAATCACGTACACGGCCTTGAAAAACACGTATGGTTTATATAGTTCAACTAGTCGTATCAGCACTTTGAGTTTTCTATAGTTCTCATTGTAAACATCTTGAGAGTGTTGACGGAACACTTTGTTCACCAAATTTAGGACCTAGCCAATATGTCAAAAATCATGCAAAAGGATTAGCATGGAACTTAAAACATGGCAAAAATTAATATATATGTGATTTGCTAGATTACTTTGTTAGAACTTGATATTTAACAAACCTTTAGTGGCAAGACATATCGGGCTGTCATGTAAATGTTGAAAGCAGCCATACTTGTCAATAAAGTTGCTTTGGAGATGATTATAGGTTTTCCATTTTCATTTTTGTATGGAACTTCAGTGAAATAATGATAGCAGATATTATGAACATCCGAAATTTTGAAAGGATTTCTCAGTGAAGAAGAAATGTGGTAGATGGAATTCGCAAGTGCTTGATTTGAATGAGCAACAATTGTGATCACACAATTGATAACCAAGTCTGCAGGTATCTGCAGATTTTTTGTCGAAGGTTAGTTTTTTTCTTCTCAACTTTTCATGTAGCAATAGTAGTGAGTGTATTTATATATAACACAAAAATTAATTTGAAATAAATGATATTAATTAAAAGTGATTTTGTAAGGATTTGAAAAAGTGATAGTCAACCTGATTCTAACAGTATTCATACACGTAATGTACACAGAAGTGTGTGTAAAAACCAGTTGCATACTTTTTTGTTAAAATAAAATCATATTGGAAAAGTAAATATGTTAGAAAGTATAACAAATAAAAACATTTCATTGGTTTTTTAAATAAAATATCTAAGAGCATTTTAACAATGGGAAAAACTAAAACCAGCACTTTTAGATCTAAAAGAACTAGTTCATTGGCAGTAGTTTAAACATTTGATGTTTTATTTGTCAATTAATTAGATTTATATTAAGTATATCATACAAAAATATAACCAAAGATCACTAATGCTAAATTTATGTAGCTTACTATATCCAAATTTGTCTTGGGATGACCGAGAAAGCATTTAATTTTTCCTTGACCATAGCCAATTATTATACTGTCAAGAGTTCTGTAAGCAAAAATTAAAGTAATTTAATTTTGACGTGATTTTTCGTCAACAATTAGCATAAGTATTTTGTAAGTTTAACAGGAAAATATATTCAATCATAGTAATGAAATACACATTTAAAACATTGTAAAATGATAAAAAAAAAGTACAATATACCTTATACCTTCAATCCAACCTGGAAAGGGATCATTAAATGTACTTGTTACCATGGTGGGTCGTATTATGATTAAGGGCACGTTATCTTTATGATGCATAACAAGCATCTCTCCCATTGCTTTTGTGAACGCATATGTGTTGGGCCAACCATACAAATTTGCTCTAGTTTTACATTAGTTCAATCATATCACAGATAAATTATGTTAGAATGATGGAGGTAGATGCTATAAGAATACATGAAACAACTCAATAAAAATATGCACCTTTTAATTCCATAATCTTTCATTGCATATTTGATAATGTTTTCAGTAGCATTCTTTGATTGGAGTTCATCCATTTTTCTCTTCAACGAATCCATCTCTGCATGTATGTCTAATTTTGATGTTCCATTCAAGGTTTGACCCATCTCAAATGGTTTCTCTTGTAGAATTACTTTTTCATCCTTAGCCTCTCCACACACATAAGCTGAAATCAATCAATTAATACCAAAAATGTATTGTCAGTATAGTAATCAACTATGGGAAGCTAAAATGCTTTTAGTAAATAAAGTGAGATATGTATAAATACTAACCAGTTGATATGTGCACAAGAACCTTTGCCCTATGACAATTCTTAGCGAAGTTTAAGACATGTAAAGCGCCCATTGTATTTACACCCATTGAAACATCAAATCTACAAGAATTTTTTAAATCCAAATTATCAAATTCAGGTCAAACAAAAAAATTTGGAAGTCTTTGATTGTCACCTTTCATCAAATTTGGTAGAGGCTGCAAAATTCACAATAACGTCTATCTCCTCCAACATCTTAGTCTTAAGATCTTCATCTTTTAGTCCTAAATTGTTGAGAGAAACATCTCCTGATATGATCACAACTTTCTTCGATATGAAAGAATCAAAATCTTGGCCCCACTGATCTCGTAGTACTTTAAATAAATCTTTATGAATGACCTATTACATGACAACTCAAACAATGTGCATGTGAATGTCATGAATAATCATAAAGCACATATAATATTTCTATAATTGTATAATGTGTTGATGTTTGATGATGCACCTCATTCTGAAAGCGTTGTGTGGCCAAATCATTGTTTAAGGCTCTTACTTGAAGATACAATTTTTGTATCTCTGGTTGGGTCCTTAGAATCTTTTCTACAAAAACTGAATATACAGATAAATTCATTAACAAGACTGATGCTTGAAATTATTTGTTACTTAGCTAGCTTCCTATAGATGCAATGTTTACATTGTAGTACCTTTTGCTAAGAAGCCCGTTGTACCAGTAACTAAAATGGTCTTTCCCTTGAGAAAATGTTGATGTTCAACGTCCATTGTGAAAAGGTACTATTTTTTGTTCTTATCACAAACGAAAATTTTATTAATAGACTTTAAGGATTACTTTAACTCATTTATGAGTGTTAGTATTATATACATATAAGGGTGTTTATATTTAGCTAAAGATAGAAAGAAAAAAATGTGATAAATAATATAATGTAATAGAAAGAGTGAGAAAAAAAAGATAAAAAGATATTATACAAGTATATAAATATTATTGTTGCTAATAAATAGATATTATATAAATTTAAAATATCTTAATATGACAATTCAAACTATTGCAAGTAAGGATGAAAATAGGCTAGGTCGTCTGATAGGAGCCTACAGCCTAACCTATTTAATTAATAGGTTTAATTTATACTTTTTAAAAAATTTAATTAATTAAATAAATTACATTTGAACTTAAGAAAAAGTCTATTAGATTGCACTGTTTTGATTATGTGTGTCGTTAGTTCATTTCATCTCATCTCATTCATTATCTTTTTATAATCTTGGGCATTATTTATATTATATTATTTTTTAAATAGTTTCTTTAGATATAAGCTTTATAACTTTTAAAAAATATATTTATTTAGATAGTTTAATAGTTTATTTATAAAAAAATTTAATGATATATTGAATGTCTCGATAAGAAGTAAGTCATTAAAAAGGTTAATAAACTAAATCAGACTTTTAAAAAAAACAAACTAAACTTAATAAAAAATTTATGATAGGTAATATGTTAAATTTAGACTTCAAAATTATTAGACAGGTTAGTCTTATTAACACAAAGTTTAACTTAACTTATTTCTATTCTTAACTAAGAACCCACAATCCAGGAGAGCTTAAAATGGAACTTTATCTTGGAAAGATCCCCTAAATGAATCAAATAAAAAATATCATTCTTGATTAATCCCTTTTTAATCATCAAAATTAACCATATAATTGCAAACTAAAAGAATATGCATACCTTTTAAAGCATTTTCCCTTTGACTAGCCCACAATATTACGGGAAATTTGAAGAAGTGCTGGTTAATTAAAGTTATTTAGAAAAAAGTGTTGTACCCTTTGTGAATCAATGATGAAGAAGTGAAATGACATGTAGTTGGAGTCCCTCACAATGAAAAGGAAAATGATTTAGGGGTGCTCTTCTTAGCAACATAAGAGCCTTATTTATACACGTCTCGCCAACTACTACTACTGTTGTAGTGTTGTTTCAATAAGTGATGGACCAACATTATTTTAATGTATGGCAGGAACATGTATTGCACAAAATTAAATGATCATGAATAAGTAAAATTACATGTAGTTGGAGTCATGCGCAATAAAAAGGAAAATGATTTAAGGAGTGCTCTTTACACCACACCTATCACTGATCACTGTTGTTGCAATAAGTGATGGACCAACCTTTTGCATTACAGAGGGAAGTGGGAACATCACAGATCGTGACCCTCGCAGGGGTGTATAAATTGGAACTAACAATTCCGGTCCCTTTTCTTTACTACTAAAAAGATTTTTTTTTTTTTCATTTTCAATGAAAATAAAAATTTTAGTATACTTTTTTTTCCCCCAATTTTTAGAAGGTAAAATCTATACTACCCTGGGTAAGTGAAAGAGTTTGGTACCCTTTCTTACATATGAAATAATTTTGACCGTTAATTTTATATGAATAGATAATAGAATTAGTGGTATAATTATAAAAGATGTTAATACTCTCTTATTTTTAAAATATTAAAAAATTCACAACCTTTAAGAGTATAATACCCTTTCAAATTTACAAATATCACAAAAAACACTTTTTTTAAAATCAATTTTACTCAACTTTATTTTAAACTAAATCAAAAGGACACTGTATCAAAGACATCTGGGTTTTTCTGTGGCGGAGCTTTATTTTGGATAAAGTTAGGTTGAATGTACTAAATTCAAAGGAACAGAAATTATTGATAAAAAAGGGGAATAGATATGAGTCTGATTTGGTGAATTTTGCAATTGTATGCTTGGTTGAGAAATGAAAAAAAATAAAAAATAGAGGAGAAAAAAAGAGGAAAAAGAGTAAAAATGACAAAAAAAATGTGTTATTTTGATGGATAAAAAAAAATAAAATCACGAAGTTGAAAAACACTGCGAGAGAAATGTCAGATATACTATTTTACCATCGTGTTTCATCTCGAAGTATGATCTTATGCATTTATGGTCTAATTTTTCTTAATTTTCTTGATTAAAATATAAGATACTAATATGTTAATGTTAAAAGCATTGTAATTGGAAATAAGGAGTGCGAATTTAATGTTATTATTTGTGGCAAAAAGTATGTCATTTACTTTATATTTTAATAATATTAATCTCAGTTAATCCAACTCTCTTAATTTCAATGCTAATATTATTTTATTTTCTATTTGTAATACTTCGATACATGCATCACTACGCTTAATTTCCTGTAATTCCAACCTTCCTAAGTGGTGTTTTGCATTCAATTTTAAATTCATAAACATATTCAATTCCTTTGGTGTTTAGCTAGTAAAATAAGAGCTTTATTATTTGAATATAAAATTATTAACACTATCCACTACTATGTTGTTTCAATAAGTGATGGACCAACATATTAATTGTTTTTATGTATGGCAGCAATACGTGTACAAATATATGTATGTATTGGACAGAATTAAATGATGATGAAGAAGTAAAATTACATGTAGTTGGAATGATCCACAATAAAAAGGACAATGATTTAGGAGTCTCTTCCTAGCAAAATAGGACCCTTATTTATACACCTATCACTTATCACTGCTTGCAATAAGTGATGGATCTACATCATTTTTATGTATGGCAGCAATATGTATTAGACAAAATTAAATGATACAAATATGAAATAACAATAAAATATTTAATAATTTTTTATATTAGTTCAACTTTATTAATCTAATTTTAATCGGGTAAAGATTTATGACATAGGGAATTATAGGTTGAGCTTGATTTGTGGTTTGAATTTTGGCAACAATTAAGTGTAACACATGGGCAGAATTCGTTGTGCATTAAATAGATGAGGACTTCGTCGATTAGATCAATTTGGTCAGCATTTGCATTTGTAGATATGACAAGAGGGGAAGTGATGGGATCAATTTATTACCTCCCTATGATTCACCCTTTTTTAATTAAATCACACCCACGTAATTATAAAAATAATTTAATGTATTGTTTTTTAAAAAGTCTTTTATAATATTTTAAATTTTTTTTTTAAATCAAATTTTATTATATATTAATTATTAAAATTACTAAGGATTATTTTTTTAAGTCTCATACAAAAATTAAAACGAATATTGAAAACATGATGGGAGAGGTGTAGTCAAGGTTAGAGTTACGTGGTATACTCTTAATGAAACATTTAAACAAGTGGTTTGGTGTATTTGAAATCTTGAGTCACCGAATAAAGTGTGACAATTGAGTTATGTGTGTTTATGCACGTGTGTAGGCGCCGTCAAAGTTTGGCGCAACTAATTTCTAAACCTTGTTAAAATAAATTAAATTTATTTTGATAATTTTAATGTTTTGATCTTGTTAATATCAGTAGATATTTGACTGTTGCTGGTACGATATATATATATATATATATATATATATATATATATATATATACCAGAAAATAACCAAAAGTCTATTTTTTAAGTATGATACAAAATTTTGGATTACTCTAAATGAGATTTGGGTGAAAAAAAATTTCATATCTATCAGCACATAATTTTTGAAGTTTTTTTTTTTTTAAATATTTTTTAGACATTTTTCAAGATTAAAAGTCATCTTTCTAATAAAGATATTCTTCTTGAAATAAATACTTATTATATTACAGAAAAGCTTCATATCTTACTAAAGAGAATTAATAATATCAATTGAATAATTTTTATGTTATTAATAAATTAAAATATTTATAAAATATATTTTTATCTTTGTAATTTTAAATTTGAATTTTATTATCTGTAATGATCTTATTCACTTTAATCAAAATTGACTCTAGTAGAAGGTAGTTATAGTTTAGATAAAAAAATATAACAATTTATAATTAAATCTATTACAATATAACAATGTATTTTAATTAATTAAATTCATTTAATATTTTTTATAATAATAATTTTTATTCTTTTATTTTTAAAAATTATTATTATTATTTTATGGGTAAGATTATATTGATAAGAATTTAAGGTTTAAGTTATTTTCTTTAAATATTAAGAAATTATATAAAAGTTTTAGGGTGAATCTATAAATTGATAAACTAATTTACTAAAATTTAAAAAACACGTTTAAAAATTAAAGATGTTACAACGTGGGACAACCCACCAAAATTTGGAAAAGATTGAATATTGATTTGTTTTTTTCAACTTTTTTGAAATCTATATCATGAGTGATGGCGTGAAGCATTACCTTCTAAGAAGGACACGTATCGACCAACGAGCCCTTATCCCATTAATACAAGGAAAGTGGAAAAGCAAATAATTATCTATCATTTATTAACTTTAAAGTATATAATGATATTAAAAGTTGTTGATAATAATTTCTTATTTTATCACTTTACAAACAAACTCTAGAAAAACTTCTTTCAAAATTCAAAGATTTATTAAACATAAAACCGTTGGAAAAAAAAAAAAGATAATTAAGGTTCCTCTATTACAGTAATTTTGTTTGAAAGTGAAAAAATAAATAATTATGTATCATTAATTTAATTTAAAATATATAATAATATTAACAGTTGACAATAATAATCCCTTACTTTTTCATTTCATAAACAAACTTTGCCACAGATTTATTGAACATAGCAAAGAAATTCTTAAACAATGGATCATAACTACCTATAAATCAAAATTTTTTCATTCAGCAATTTTCTCTTACTGCAAAATGAAATAAAAAATTAGCACAAGTGAATAAGGTTTAGGAAAATTGCCCTGATAAGGAATGAACGGTGTTAGATCTCATGAGATCTCAAGCAGAATTCAAAAATCAAAATCAAGATGAAGAAGAAGATTCATAAGGTATACCCGGAATGCAGGTAATTTTAAAAAAAGTAAGGAAGAAAGAAATAATAAAAGAGGAATAAAGAATAAAAAAGTAACAAAGAAAAAGAAAAAGTCTTTGTAATTTTTTGGGTCAGGTAAAATAAAAAGGTAGTAAGGTGGCTTGAAATAATTTCTCAATCTAAGAAATAAAAAGTCTAAACCATTTCCATTAACCCATCACTCAGCTAGCATGGCCCAAAATACATTATCCATCACCCACCCATGTCCAATAACCCAAATCACACTTTCACTAAAAAATTAGAGGTTGAAATTGTGTGTGGGAAAAGATTTTGGATTGTATGAGAACATGGTAATGTGACTTATATGTAGTATTTTAAAAAATTAACACATGTTTAAATGTAAATGAGGAATAAAGAAGCAAAGAAAGAAGATTTATAAACTGAAATTGTTAAATAGATTTTTTTAAAAAAAAATTATAAAATAACATTATTTTATGTTGATTTCAATTAATGTGATATATCGTTGTTATGATTAATGTGATTGATAATTGTTAAATTTAAAATTTAAAATTTTTAATTTAAGAAATTGATTTATACAACGCTAAACTGAACGTTTATTTTGTACATTAAATAATATTGGATAACAAACAATATAAACATGGTAGTCTATTTTTACTATTGACAGAAAATAAAATCAGAGACATTTACAATACTAAAATTAAATTATTTAAATATTTGAGTCACTCAATAAAAACTTTAAGCACTTAGCAAACATAAGATAGATTATAAATCCAATATAGTACTGTAACAAACCATTGTATAATATCACTAGAACAACTTTAATTTCATAGGAATTCAAGTTTTGAAACATAAAATCTACTATGATAAATTTAGATTTAAGGTAAGTTGTCACTTGGAACCATATTTGACGATGCCTGGAAGATGAATATTCATGAAGTAGTCCTCCCAATCAATCATTTTAGGATCAAAGTAAAACAAATCCATCTCTACCCCACCATGTCTTGCTGCTATTTGCAACTTTTCTGTATGCAAATTATCAAATCTGTGGGTATAAAAAAGCTTGAATTAGTAAATTAATTAGTATCAAAACCTTACTTTTGCTGCTAATTAATTAACTTACATGCCATTGAAGAACAAGTAGGGCTTATAAAGGTCAACCAATCGCATCACAGTTTGGATCTTCCTCTTGATGTCAAGATACATTCCTAGAAAACGCTGGCAAAAAGCTGCATTGGCTATCTCTAGTCCCTATTAAAATGTAAAGTAAGTTACATTTTCTATTTATAATTATAAAAGTGAAGTTGGACGAATAGTGGAATCTAACGTAGAAATTAAGGATTTGAAATAACCTTTAATGGAAGCAAGTAATGAATGAACATATATCTTTGGAAGCTAATAGTGTTTTGCAATATTATCAGCTTGTCAACCTTGACAAGCTTTCCTTCATTGTTTTCACATGGTTTTGTTGTGAAATATCTGAAGCTGTAGTCTTGAAGATTGTGGCATTTGACTGGATTTGCAATAGAGGAGCCCACATGGTATATCATATTATCACAAGGTTGACTTGCATGCGCCATCATTGCCACTAATATTGCATTCACCACCATGTCAGCTGGTATCTGCTAAAAAATTAAACTCAGCATAAATATATTCATTTGGAGCAAAGAATGTAATAGGAGTATGTATTATATAAAAGAAGTTTGGTTTTGAAGATGGGCAAGGGAATAATTAACCAATGGTTATTATTTCCACATTTTCTATACTCATAAAGAAGATTATTAAATTTTTCATTTAGTGACTCACCAAGTCAAAAACCATCTTGATGTCTGCAGGGAAGCATGCTAATTTTCCTTTGCCATAGGCAACAAGGAAACTGTCTATGGTTCTGCAAAACATCACAAAAAAATAGGGTTATTCCTCTCTGTTGACTTGTAAAGCAAATAAAAGGGACAAAACAGTAACAGTAGTTGAATGCATGTTGTACTACTGTAAAGCAATACAATTGATAAATCCAAATTTGCACCAGATGTAGAGTCCTTTTTAGTTGGTTTTTTTGTTATTAATAAATCATGTTTAGGCCTAAATATTAGGCATTACTAATGATTTCTGGTATTTCTGTTGTATCTATAGCTATTGTGAGTTTATAGTTTGATTCATGTCAAGAGTAAGCATTTTAATTGAAATTATGTGCATAAAATTCACTCAAGAAAGTGGATGATAAAAGAAAAGTTATGGCACGAGGAGGGTTAAAATCGAAGAAATTGTTTCACTGGATATTCAAAGTCTAAATACTTATCTGTCAATGACATTTGAACTTTCATGTTCTACATTTTAACACTGCATACAGAGAAGTTAGAGTTTCCTTTGTTGTCATGTGCATGTTCAAACATCCATATCTTAGCGTTTGAGCATGAATTGAAAAATATTAAATTTTATTTATTAATATATTCATTTGAACACTTAGAGAAGTCAATTTTTTTTATGCTTAGAAGTCCTAACAATTATAAATGGATTTTCTTAATAGAATGAGAGGATTCTTTTTTTTTTAATCTCTCATTGGAATAAAAGATTTGCGGAAGCAATGTCTTGGAGCATTAACAATTGATCTTCATCACGTCAATCATTGTGATTTGTTCCCTTTTATTTTTTGCTCTTACTCTACGAGGTATCTAATTTTTATAGTCAGGAGACCAGGAACCTTAACATGAATTTATTTTCATAATTGATTTTCACTCTTAATTTATGTTTTAATTTTTTCACTGATTACATGTCTCCAGTCATATAGCTTCAATGAATCGGCCACTTAGAAATGAAGAAGAGTTGGCGTAAGGGTTAGAAGTAAGGCATAGAAGATGACCCTTAACATTCCAAGAATAGAGATTAGCAAGTCTGAGTTTTGAAGAATCTCCGATATAATGCTTGTCTAAGCTAGGAGTTTCTATGGAATCAAGGACTAGAAGAAAGAGTTTAATTATAAAGGAGTTGAATATAACTACTATAATAAATTTGATCATCAATATTTTAAAAAATTTGTATTGAGGCAAATTACTTAAGCGAGGGTAGGAAGAATCAAATCACAGCACCTTTGGCACAATGAATCTAATACACCACACACACTAGTTTTAATCTTTATTTGAAACTTTTGGTTCATATAGTCTTACTTTAATATAGTTTTTGCAATTATAATTAGATTCTTTAATTAAAGCGTTTTTTTTTTTGGGTACGATAAAGGGTGAGTTCATAAATTTGTTAGTTGTATTGAATTCATTATCCCTAAATGTATATTCTACCAAGTTTATATATTACTTGATAATAGCTGTTAATTTACCTTACACCTTCGATCCAACCAGGGAAAGGTTCCTTGTAAGTGCTGGCAACAATTGTAGGACGCACGATAACAACAGACATGTTTTCCTTTAGAGTTCCTACAAGCATTTCTCCCATTGCCTTTGTGAAGGAGTACGTGTTTGGCCATCCATATACATTTGCTCTGAATTTAAAAATAAAAATAAAAATAAAAATAAAAATAAAAATAAAAATAAAAATAAAAATAAAAATAAAAATAAAAATAAAAATAAACCAAACATATTTAGTTTTAAATTGGTGTTATTTAGTATGTACCGAATCCACATTCAAAATTGAAAGAGGTAGATGCTCACCTTTTTATTTTTAACATTTCAAGAATTTGAGTGATTAAAACATCAAAGAATAATTCTAGATTGTGAATTAAGTATTGTATATGGATGAGACCACAAATTAAAATGGAACTCGTAGATGCTAACCTTTTCATACCCAAGTCCTTCATGACCATTTTAATATAATCCTCTGATGCTCCCTCTTGTCGAAGCTGCTTCAACTTCTCTTCCACCACTTTCTTTTCCACATCAATGTCTAGTCCGGGCTCTCCGTTTAGTGACACACCCATTTTGTATGGATCCTCTAGTATGAGTCCTCTTCTCTCGCCACATACATATGCTGAAGACATAAAATCGTATTCTTTCAATAGATAAAAATAAAACGTGTTATAACTTTTTTCTATTTATTTAAATAAAAAGAGTAAATTATTTATTAAATTATATTTTTACCTTTTAAATTTGTATTTTTTTTTTCTAAATGTTATGGATTGAAAGAGATGGCTAAGGAATGAGAAGTTTTAAGGGCAATTTGAGCAAGAAATTTTTGCATCTCTCTCCGTTCAAGACCTAATCATTTGTGAATCAATAGCCGTGGACTATTTTCTTGTCAGAACCATGCTCATATTATTCTTTTTTAATTTCTTTCGTTGATATCATCATTAAGGAGTCAAACATATAAGAACCAAACAACTAATTATAAATGTGTGGAATTTCATAGTTAAAAATCATGTCAGTATAGATATACTCGTGTTCAAATATCCCTTATACTCTGATATGATATGACATGATATATATAAAGTGTTCTTAATTAATTAAGTTGTTTAAATATATGTTATTGAATAAATATATAAAAAATTGATACATATTAGGTTATTGAATTTTGATGAGAATACACGTGTAATAATAGTGCGTATGCGGTCAATTGAACACTAACCTGTTGATACGTGGACAAGAACCTTTAGCTTAATGCAACTTTTGCCGAAGTTCAAGATATGCTTAACTCCTAATGTATTTATATTCAGTGCAACATCGTATCTGCGTATAATAATGAGCCTTAAAAAATGGATTATATAAATATACATAAGGTTTTAAATATACAAGTCCAAATATACCTTTCATCAAAGTTAGTTGTTGCGGCTAAATTAACTATACATTCAATTTGATTGCAAATTTCTTCCCTTAGAATGGAGTCTTTCAAATTCAAGTCCTCTTGAGAGATGTCCCCAGGAACAAGAGTCAACTTTTCTGAGACAAAGGTATTGAACTTTGGACCAAGATTTTCCTTCAACAATCTAAACAAGTCCTTCCATAAAATCTACATATGAAAAAGTAATAGTTCATTAATAATACATCATCATATGTGTTGGTTACACAAAATGATATATAGCACGAACTTTACATATTCTAGAGTCCGTATCAATTTTCAATTAAAATAACAAAACTGCTACTTAAGTGCATGAAATTTTGCGTACTGTAGTTCTTCAACTGTGGACAACACAACACATTTTACATGTGGGGTACGTACGTAGGAGACTGATCATGCAATACCCAAAGTAGGTGTGTTTGCACCTACCTAGGCAAACATCCATATAATGGCTTTTGAGTCGATAAAACAAGAGTACATGCATGTGAACGATGGAACTCTAGAGCAATTAGTGCACTGATATGACTTAATTAAAGTTACATCTAATTCTTATATCATTCATTTATTTAAGCAATATTATAAAAATATGATTTTTATATCATTTTTAATTTTTAAAATGTCGTAACTAATGTAATGTGTAAATATCATAACATAACTCTCAGTTTTATTTCAAATTTAAATAATTGTATATCTCATGAAGAAAGCGAAAAGGTAAATGAAGCTAAAACAAACGAATTCAATATAACATTTTATTTTATTTTTGGATGAAAGACTAACGTTTGTCACAAATTAATAATATAAGAATTCTATATAACATTCTATATATGTTCACCTCATCGTGCAATCGCCGAGTGGCAGATTCTTCATCCGCGGCTCTCAAAAGAACATACAGTTTCTTCACATTTGGTTGAACTCTCAGTATCTTCTCCACAAAAACTGCAATATCAAAGAATTAAACACATACCAGTGCATGCACAATAAGTATTAAGCAAGCTTAATTTCAGGAAGAGAGAAAAAGAAAGAAAGAAAAACACTTTTGGCAAGGAAGCCAGTGGCACCAATGACCATGATATTCTTGTCCTGAAGGAAGTTGATTATGCTTCCCAATTCCATTGTAGGAAAATTAAAGTGTAATGTTCAAATGGATCTTAACACATTCGATGTTGTTTGTGAAAATAATGCTTCAAATGGCAATGCTATATATAGCAAGAAAATGATCGATCGAGTGATAAAGGCATTTATGTGTATCCTACGATGTATGTATGCTTTAAAATAAAATTTTACTAGAGTTGCTAAATGGATAAAATATTATGAAAGAAAAAATAAATATAAAAAATAAGTTTATTTGTATTTTTTGTCTATATGATAATCAATATATAATTTTGTCTCCCAATATTATTTATATTTAAATTTAGTCATTTAATTTTTTTCTTGTTATAATTAAGCTTTTCATCAGTTTCTCTTTATACAAAACTCTTACATTATTATTATTATTATTATTATTATTTATTTATTTAAATGATTAAGTGTTTTTGACATATTTGATATAGAAAAAATAATTTGAAAGATTTTAAATTATAAATTTAGATGAATTTATAAGATATGAATTTAAGGTTTTAAAAAGGATAACGTTAGAACTTTTTTGAAATTTAAGTAAAATATAATATTTTAGTTGAAAGATTATGAGTGAGATAAAATTTTAAAATAATTTAATATAATTAATTTAATGATTTTTGTTAATATAAGTTATTATAATTAAGTTTAAGCATATAAAAATAATAATTTTGTATTTAATATAATAATTATTAAAATTTTGTATATTTAATAGAATAATTATTTTAAAATTATTATTTTCAAATATTAAAATTCACTCTTAAAAATAAAGGTTAACATGACCAACAATTAATTTAATTCATGATAAATAAAAATATACATTAATTATATATATAGGTATAGATCAAATTATATTGGTGTAAATTATATCTACTTTTACATAATTTAGTAATCTTGTATTCAATAATTTAATATTTTTTCAATATAGACAAGAATCAAGTCACTTCATGAGTTGAATAAAATGATATACTAATGTTAATTATGTATACTATGTTTTATATAAATGAGAGTAAAATATAATTTTATAATTAATATTTATTTATATTTTATAAATATATATTAAAATTTAAAATGAAATTATCTAAATTAATTTTATTAGAATGATTTTTTAAAATTTAATTTATTTAAGAATAATTTTTAATTTAACGATAAATTATAATAATTTAATATATATATATTTAAATTTCTTAATGTTTATTTTTTATAATAATATTATCATTATAATTATATTTGCTACTGTGCACAGAGGAGAGATTAAGAATTTATAAATATTTTTTTTCAAAAATAGAAAAATTTAACCGCTAACTAATAGAATTTTTTTGAAAAACAATTTAAAAATATGAAGTATTACATTGCACACTTTTAAATAAAAAATTATGGTTTAAATTGTAATTGATTAAACATACTAAAATAAACTTTTTTATAATTTAAATATAATATTTTTATTTAAATTTGATTAGAATTATATTTTTTTATAAATTAAAAAATATCAATAAAAATGTAACAATGATAAAAAAATTAAGAAAATATAAATAGTTTGTAAAAAAGATATTTTATTGAATATATTTGAACATAGTGAGAATTTAATATTGATATCCGTCCTCGTGCAACCTATATGGCTTGAACCCAACTTTTAAATGCGAAAGGTACACTGCTTACCGTCTTGTTTGCCACATGCCACAGTGAAGTGAATGAGAACATTATTCAACAAACAGTTCATTGAGCCTAACATAACTGCTACATATCTTGCAAATATTAATGCTAACGCCACGTTCCCTGAAAATCTTGCTAAGATCGAGTTTCTGCAGAATAATAAAAGACATATACCATATTCAAATACATAGGTTGGCAGCATCAAACCATTACAGGCTTTTCATAACAAGTCAAAGAAGAATGCATAAATATCTCGTTCATTCATTTCGTAGATCTAATATTCAAACCATTGCCTGTTATTGCTTAATCGTTTCTCCTCTCTTTTTCACTTTTTCTTATACACTCACAGTATGTTTCGAGTATGCAGTAGTCACCAGACGAGAGCAAAGAATAGGGAAGAAGAAATGAGATTAGAGATGAAAATATTGGAGACTGATTAATAAATCTTAAAAACAGTCTATTTATGTCACTTAGCATAAAAGTTACACATTCAACTTTACATCATATTCACATTTAACGTGTCACTTTAGCGATTCATTATCTAATTAACAATTGTTTATTTTAAAAATCAATGTGACCCATGATTATATATATTAGATTAATATATACTTTTTAACTTAAGAACTATTTTAATGTATCCTTGAAATGATGGAAACCAATAAGATTGTTTTCTCATATAATAAATATATTAAATTTTATACTAAAAGATTAAACTCTATCTTATTTTTAATTAATTATTAAATTAATAAGTATATTAACTTTTTTAAGCTTTTATCGACTATTTGTCTTATATGATTGTTATATATTTTAATATTAAAAAAAGTATATATTCATGTTACATGATTCTTAAATATTTATATCATTAGAATAAATAATAAATAACATATTTACAAAAGATAAGTAATATCTTGATAATTACGTAAGTGAAATAGACATATTAAATTCATTTCATATATATTTAATTTTTCTTCTTGCAATCTTGAAAATCTTTGATTTTGTGATTTCTCTCTTTGTCTTCTCTATTTATTTTTTATTCATTTTAACATCTTTTTACTCTAATCGGTCTTGCATGTTTGGATGAACTTATGGATAAATAAATATATTTTTTTATAAGTTAAAAATAAATTATCTCTTTAAATATTAAAGAAATTAAATAAAATTATTTTTAAAAAAATAAAAAATACAAGTTAATTTTAAATTATAAAAATAATTTTATTTTTTTTCTCTTACAAAAATTTATCCATATCATGACGATTTTCATTTACCTAATAGTCAAACATTTGCTAAAATTAATTAATCTGCCCTTGACAAACCTAATGGGATAATATCTTCGGATCTCACATATTCCTTTTATTATTTATAGACAAGTACAGTGGCCCAACAAGACAACTTCTACGAGGATCAATTGATCAACATTAACTATTTTTATGTTATGATTGTTTATTGTATTATAATAGCAAATAATCTTCCTAGAATTCATTATACTCACATTTCTGCATACGTACAGATCCATCAATTAATTAATTAAGTTTTATGGTTGAAATGAATAGGTAAAACTTATACTATTTTGTAATAAACTGAAAGGTCATTTAATTTATAGCTTAAAACTTCAAGTAATCAACGTCACTTGGAGATAAAACCACGACACTTGGTATAGTTGCACCAGTAAAACTGTTCTATTTTCAGGTGAAACAACGTGTACAATAATAAAATTTCTTTGCAGTACATTAAAAATTATGCAATATGAATAATATAAGCATCAGCAGTACTCTTCTTGTGTATCTGACAACTCAAAGAAAATTCAAAGAGAACTTGATCTGTATTATGTGAATATTGGAGCACCCGAAAACTTAACCTCCCTAAAATTAGTAACACACTATTATATATAAAATTAATGTCGCTAACATAATTTTGAATGCAATGGAGATTTAAGTTTTGGAAAAAAAAAAAAAAAAAACGAAGCTACAATGACAATTCAGATTAATTTCACAGTACGTAATCACTTGACGACATACTTGACAACCCCAGGAATATGAATATTCATGAAATAGTCCTCCCAATCAATCATTTTAGGGTCAAAGTAAAACAAATCCATCTCTACCCCACCTCGTTTTGCTGCTATTTGCAACCTTTCTGTATTCATATTATCAAATCTGCATGCAAAACAAGCTTGTCTCAGTACATTAATTAAAATTAAACAAGTTAGTGTTGTATTTTACTTTTTGCTAATTAATCAACTTACACGCCATTGAAGAACACGTAGGGCTTGTATAGGTGTACCAATCGCATCACAATATAGATTTTCCTGCTCATATCAAGATACATTCCTTGGAAATATTGGCATAAAGCTGCATTGGCTAGCTCTATTCCCTATTAAAAATGCAAACTAAGTAAGCACGTTTTGCTAAGGAATATGCTATTTAATTTGGCACAAAATGATGTATCAATAATTATTAAGAGTAATATTGATGATTAGTTAATGCATTGCAAGAGTGTTAATACATTCTCTAACATATTATTTGTAATTAGTTAAAATTTATTAAAAATTATAAAATTATATATGATGAGTATCATTAAGTTAAGTGCACAAGTTACCTGTTTTTTTATGTTTAATAAATTTTAGATAATAATAAATAATATATTTAAAAGAGTGTGTTTGAAATAGTGTTACTATAATTTCTAATTGGATGAGTAGAGAGATCATCAAAAGTAGAAAATAAGGAATATATATAAATAACCTTTAATGGAAGCAAGTAACGGATGAACATATATCTCTCAAAGCTAGCCATGTTGTCCAATATTGTAACTTTGCCAACCTTGATGATCTTTCCTTCCTTGTCTACACAAGGTTTTGCAGTGAAATATCTAAAGGAATAGTCTTGGAGACTCTGGTATTTGACTGGATTTGCAACAGAGGAACCCACGTGATATATGATATCATCAGGCTGATTTGCATGAGCCACCATGGCTGCTAGAATTGTATTCACGACCATGTCAGCTGGTATCTGCTTCAAAATTCCAAAAAATTCATATATCCATTTCGATTAGCCAAGAATGTATTTTATTTAATTAAAGAAGTAATTGGTTTAGAATTAGATGAGAAAGTGAATAATTAATAGTATATATAATTGTTCTTTCTTTACTGATTAATTAAGAACTCAAATGCTTCATTCAGTGACTCACCACGTCGAAAATTGCCTTAATATCTGCAATGAAGCATGTTAATTTTCCTTTGCCATAAGCAACAATCAAACTGTCTATGGTTCTGCAAATCAAGAAAACAAAACTTTGGGTTATATGCTTATACAACCATTGTCTTAGAAATCAAATTAAAGGGACATAAAATAACGGATGATTAAAAATGTATGCTTGAGTAGCTAGTATGTAACACAACGCATTGCATCGAAATGACCAAAGTGATGAATGACATAAAAATAGGTGATTTACCTTACTCCTTCAACCCAACCAGGGAAAGGTTCTTTATAAGTGCTAGTAACAATTGTAGGACGTACAATAACAATGGACATGTTTTCCTTCAAAGTTCCTACAAGCATTTCTCCCATTGCCTTTGTAAAGACATATGTGTTTGGCCATCCATGCATAGTTGCTCTGAGTTTATTCAAACACACATGAAAGTAAAAAAAATAAAAAAATCAAAATTCAAATATTTATTCCTTTTCAAATTTTATTAACATTTTACAATTTTAAGAAATTAGTAATCCAGAAAATAATTTTAAATGGTCAAATATGGAAGTAACCTCAAAGTAAAATGGAAGTAGTAGATGTTAACCTTTTCATGCCCAAGTCCTTCATGGCCATCTTAATATCATCTTCTGTGGCTCCCTCTTCTCGAAGCTGATTTAACTTCTCCTCTACAATTTTCTTTTCCACATCAATGTCAAGTCCGGGTACTCCATTTAGCGACACACCTAACTGGTATGGGTCCTCTAGTATAAGTCCTCCTCTCTCCCCACATACATATGCTGAAGGCATATCAATTATATTGATTAATCTTTGGCAAGTTTCGGAAAAGTTATCAAAAATATATTGGCCCAATTTCAATAAGTTTTTAGATAAGTAATTCTGAGAGAAGACAATTAATATGAAAAATAAATAAAATTGATTTTGTAAGTTAAAAATAATTTATAATTTTTAAATTTAGCAAAGTTAAATAAAAGAACTATAAAAAAATAGATAAATCTAAGTTGATTTTAAATTATAAGAGTGGATTAATTTAGTTGACTACTTAATATTTTGTTCTTGTAAATATTTATTAAAAAAAATTATCTAAACTTACTTTTAAATTACATCAATGTTGATTAGACTGCCAAAATTAAGAACGCTCCTTAAATGTGTGGAATTCCACAGCTAAATGTTATTTCAATTCCACATGTAAACTGCAAACTAAATGTAAACATATGCGTGAAAATTAATTTTATCAAATATAAAAAAAATGTTGAGAATTTTGCAAGAAAAATTATATTAGCAATTGAAGATGATTAGATAATACCAAAATGGTACATATATATACTAAATGGAATCAGGAGCATAACATAATGAGTAAATCAAGAGTCGTTGTTTTTATGCCCTTTTAATTTTAACTCTCAAAGTCATAATCAATAGAATTATTACTATCAAATTCAAAACCATATTTTCTAAAAAAGTCAGTCTTTAGGTCTCAATGTAATCAGAAGGTGGCTGAAGAGGAATGTAGATTTTAATATCAATGCGAAATTAAAGAAATTCCATTCTTTTTAATCATCTTAGAATACTCATGCTTTTCTAAAAAAATTATCCACTTAGAATTCAATAGTGGAGAAAAGGACTTGTAGTGTTGGAAGAGTATACTCATCTTTTAAACTAAAATTGTTGTTATAACTTAAGCTTATGAAGGGAGCCCAACCCAAAAGACTAGTCCAATAGGTTAGAAAACTTTAAAGCTAAGTACCCAGTTAAGCATTTTATAGATGGTGACCCCATAGTAGTCCTTTCTCCTCGTAGCTCATCTTATTCTACTCAATGTGAAACTCATAACATACAGAGAGCCTAATCCAAAAAATTAGTCCAATACATTTTATTCTAGGATGATTTGGAATTTCTACTGAAATAACCAATAATTGCAAGGAAAGCTTCCTTCCGTTCCAATGTCTATTGAATTGCAAAAAAGAAACAAGGGATCTATGGCAGGTTATAGTTTGGTATTCAATACACTCTTAATTAATTAATGATTAAAATTTATTAAAAATTATAAAAATAAAAAAAACATTAACTTAATTAAGAGTGAGAAAAAGTGAAACACATAATTTTTATAAATTTTAATTAATAACTTAAAAATGAGTTAGAATGAATATGTTATAAGCATTGATCTTCAATCATTTGGTTAATATGGATGGATAAATATTGGATTCAAATTTTCTAAAAGATTTGGTGAAACTAAAATCATGGGTATGGTTTAAATCAAAACATTAGATTTAATTTGACATATCGAGTCGATTTCTACGAGAGAAGCATGTGGAATAATAATTCATGTGAGCTACATTTGAATACTAACCTGTTGATACGTGCAGAAGTACCTTCAGTTTAATACAACTTTTGGCGAAGCTTAAGACATGCTTAACTCCTAATGTATTTATACCCAATGCCACGTCGTATCTGCGTATAATTAACATATATATGGAGATTTAACATGAAAGAAAATATGCACAACTTGAATTTTAATTAACTTCTAAAAATTAAAACTATTATATAACTTTAGAGATGAGTTGTAAGTGTTGATTGATACACACCATACTGTTAATATAATGCAACATACTATACTTTTAATTAGAACAATTTTATTTTTTTATAGTGGAAATGAGGTTCTACTAAATAATTGAATCCGAATAAATACCTTTCATCAAAATTAGTTGTAGCAGCTAAATTAACTATAACATCTGTTTGATTGCAGATTTCTTCCCGTAGAAAGGAGTCCTTCAAATTCAAGTCCTCCTGAGAAATGTCTGCAGGCACCACGGTTAACTTTTCTGAAACAAAGGTATCGAACTTTGCACCCAGATTTTCCTTCAACAATCTAAACAACTCCTTCTTTATAATCTACATTCAAAATATAATAATGTGTACAAGGTATCAGCCGCGAACTGGTTTAATATGTAGTAAGAAAAATAAGAATAATGTTTATCATACAGTAAGGTGAATGAAGTTAAATGATAGAAAAAAAAATATAATAATATAATATGATGTGATAAAAAAAATTTATTTGCTGTAATATTTGTAAATTTAAGAGAATATTATATTTTTTAACTAATAGGTGTAATTTTTTTATTATCTTAAAAATTAAAAAATATTTATACATTTTTAAGTAAATTACTAACTTTACTATTTATCAATATAAAATTAATAATGATTATTATTTTATTTTAAAAAATATAAAATATCTTTTTAATTTAGAATGCACCATAAAAATTATTTTAAAGAATTAAATAAATTCTAAACTTTTGGTCTACTGCGGACAGGACAGTCGGGACAACAGGCAGAAGACTGATCATGTAATACCGAATGTCGGTGTGTACAGTAACTTAATTTTTTAATTATTAATTAAAATTTACTAAAAATTATATAAATTTTAAACATAGAATAAGTGAATAGTTGAAAATAAGTTGAAGATCTTGAGCAATATTTGCATTAACATGTCTTGATTAAAATTTCATACAATCTTATTTTTTAAATATTTTAAATAATACAATAAAAATACACACTTAAACACTGTAACTAAACATCATGAGGTCTTTTATTCAAACTTTACGTAGTTTTATTTAGATAAAATCTTCAACAAACATTCGTAGAAGAAAAAAAATCTGTTGACAACAATTTTTTTATATAAATTAAAATAAACTACGTACATAACATATTTCTAAAGAAGTTAGATGATAAATTTTTTTTAAAAAGAGAGATTTTATTTAATTTTTAAAACAAAATATTGGAAAGTTTATCTAATGTGTACCCTTATCTCTTGAAGAAAGCAAAATGGCAAGAAAAGAAAAACAGGAAAACGAAGTGGAGAGAGTGATTAACCGGTCCCTTCCACACACAGAATGGACATTATGGCATTTTAATTTTAGGGTAAAAGACAATAAGACATCATAAAATTTCTACGTTCACCTCATTTTGCAGTCGTCCTGAGGCAGATTCGGCATCTCTGGCTCTCAAAAGAAGATAAAGTTTCTTCACATTTGGCTGAACTCTAAGCACCTTCTCCACAAAAACTGCAACACCATACAAGTAATCAAACACAAGCATCACCAATGCATGCACAATAAGCAAGTTTCAAACGAGAGAGAGAGAGAAGCACTTTTGGCTATGAAGCCAGTGGCACCAATGACCAAAATATTCTTGTCCTGAAGGAAGTGGATTATGCTTCCCAATTCCATTGGAGAGGAATTAAAGGATGAGTAGAGTAAAGATATGAAAGTGGATATTCAGGAACTGGAAACACAGTTTGAAGTGGGTGAAGAGTAATGTCCCTAATGGGCAATACAACAATGCCATCTATATATATATATATATATATAAAATTGATCGACTAATAAGGCATATGATAAATTAATGTCGGTGGTGGTCCCAACTTTTGAGTGTGAAATCAAATATCAAATATATGCAAATGTGAAAACTACCCTATCCTAAGTCCTAACCATATACCCCTTTTGCCACGTGTCAAGCAATTATGAAGGTCGTTAAAACGGTGATTATTGTACCACACTATTCTTCAAACATGCATGCCTCAATTGTTCGTTTAGCCTAACCGTAACTGTTGGATATTTGTAATTGTTGTTTGATGTTCCTGCAATTCTTTTGACAATTCTCATGTAATTTAGGGATTTTTTTCTCGACTTTGGTAAAATCGAAGAGACATGAATACAAAACCTACTATTTAAGTTTTTTAACTTACGTGCAATACACGCATAAACTAGTGCTACATTGTAAAAAACAAAAGGGATACAGTGGCTTTAAAAGTTAAAGCAATGAAAGCATAAACGGAATGTTATATATTTTTTATTCTATTTTATTATTTGAATTATTAAAAACAAAAATAATATCATATATAATTACTTTTATTTTTTATTTTTTTACCTTTTTTTACATATCATTCTAAAATATACACTTAAAATAAAAAAAAAACCTAAAAACATCTATATCAAAATGTATAGAAAATGTAGTTTTTCTATTTTATTTAAGTTACATTTCACATAAGGAATTTTTAATTATTTTCATATCATCTATATCAAAATTTTTAATTTTTTATTAATAATTAAAAAATTACTCATTTTTCACTTATTATTTTTTTTCATACTTCCTTTTTTTTTATATTTTTTCTTTGTTCTAACGTAATGTCTAATTTTGAGAGCATCTTCAATGAATTTTTTTAACTCACTTTACCTGTTAAAAACGCATATCTTATTCGAGTACTATTGTTGGAGAGGAGTTCTCAATATTAATAAGTAATGGTAATGGTTTCAAGATATTTGAATAAGAGGGTTTCGGATTCTTTTCTTGTTGTGATGAAACTTATTCAATAAAATTTTTATAGATACATATAGTTAGATTTAAACTTGTATGATTAGAAAAGGGGTTGTTTATTAAGTAATAAAAAATGATGTGTTATTTTGTGAGATTCAATAAAATTATTTTATTAAGAATTTAAAATTTATTTGAAATAATTTTAGCAACTTATAAAATTATATTATAATTCTTATAAGTTACATGTATTTAATTTATTGTAATTATTTTTTATATAATTTAATTACAAAAATAAATTATTTTCAATTTATATTAATAAAATTTATTATTAACTTTATCACATTAGGTATTATTTAAAAAAATTTAATAAATAAATACTTAAATAAGTTATATATACAAACACACTCTAGCTTAATCAACTTCATGTAATTAAGACTATTAATTATTAAACGCATAAATCAATTAGTAGAAGGTTAATTTTAAATTCAAATATTAATAAATACATTTACATTAAATACTCAGAAGATAAATTTTATTGTTTAACAAATTTTATTCAACTCAAACATAAATAACTTTAATAAAAAAAGTACTTATAATGTAAACTTTTCCATCAACCAATTCCAAACCTTCATTAAAGCCCATTTTACTGATTTTAAAAGGAGTGCAAGCCTCAATCTTCTTGAAAAGAGAGTGGATCACCTATCAGTATAATTAGTGTAATTCAGAACACCTGGCAGCATCTGCCATTCCTATATTCCCCCTTATCCTAATCACACAACTTTCATTCAATGAGTATTTATTACACAAGCTGGGGAATTCAAAACCATGGTGCAATGTATAGTGACGCGCATTAAAGTTCAATGCATTATTCATTTCATGAAATTTGAAAGTCTCAATTAACAATACTGTAACAACAGCTAAAGTTCCTGCTGAGTTGAATTGATTTTCCCATGTGTACCGAACCAGCAATTGCAAGTTGTAACCTCCATACACCAACCAAACACATCAGTTTCAAAGCTATATGCCATCCCTTGGGCAAATAATTTGATAAATGAGTAAATTAATAATTTATATATTAAATAAATAATTTTATCTATTTATATAAATAATAAATAAATGTCTTATTGATATAAATTTTGTAAAAAGCAAAAATATATAAAAATAAGCTTTAATTTTTTATATTTTAAATAAAAAATACTATTATATTTATAAACAAGAGTGAAAAAAATATTTTTTAACAATAAAATAGATCAAAATTCTCTTTATTGTGTCTATAGTTTGTGTTTGCAAAAATAAAATAAAAAAAATAATGATCCCAATAAAACATAGGTCTCGGTTCCTGTGCTTGGCATAAACTGTGTCGGCCCTATCTGTTGTTGGATTTGAATGACAGCTCAGCTTCAACGTAAGTGATGCAAAAATTGAAACATTCAACGAACCACCCAAAATTTCGGCGCTAAAAGGCACCTAAAACTTACCTAACTTTTGCTGGCAGTGTCGGAATGGGAAGAATGTCATTGCACCACTTTCCCATACTAATTTTGGAAAGTTATAGCTTTTGTTAAACCAAAGCTATGTTTAGTATGTGGATCAAATCTCTCACCTTGAAGTTCATAGACCAATTTCCCCATAAAATTAAGGTTTAAATATGTTTTTATTTTTTATATTTAACTTGATAGTGTTTTATAATAAAACTAAAAATAAAAATTTATAAAAAATTAAAACTAAAATTTTATTGAAATTTAGAGAGCATGTTAAAGCCTAAAATCAAATATTTACGTAAACTTTTGCTTCCAGCACAAGTGTAAGATTATTGAAATCTTTACCTAATAAATTTTTAGTTATAATTGCTAATATTTTCTTTTTACAAAAAAATAATATATTATTTATATGATTCCAAAGAAATTAATATATTATTTAGTTATAATTAATATTTATATTATTTTTCATTAAAATTTTTGCCTAATAAATCTTTTCACAATAGTTTTAAGAACAAATATTTTCATATGATTCTAAACTTTCCATGATTCTCTCTTGATTACTAAACTATCTAACTTACTTTTTTTCATTTATTGATTTTTCTGTCTTATTTATATTATTTTTATTTTTATCTTTTATTTTATGTCCTCTTCGATCTTTTATTTTAGGTTGAGAATATCATTAATAAAAAAAAATTAATATTATTTTAAAATTTAAAATATAAATAAATAAAGATAATATTTTATTTAAAAGGAGACAAATAAAAAATAAAAATATACGTATTTATCTTTTAAAAGTATTTGCAGTTCATTCAATTTTATTATAAAAACTATCTAAATTGATTATAAATATTAAACAATTTGATTTAGTCCAATTTAAATGTAATATCAAAATTGTACAAAACTGAACCAATATCTTTTTAGTTCTGTTTAGGTTGACATTTTTAATTATTTATTTATTTTTAAATGACAATTGTTTTTCTAAAGTATGTTTATTTTATGCAACTTTTAATTTAATTTTTATTTAGATTAAAAAGTAACTAAAAAACCAAGTAATTTTTTTTGAGAAAATATTAAAATAGAGAAAAATTATTAATTAAAATGAAAAAAAATATGAAAAACTGATATATATATATATATATATATATATAGAATTTTCAATAAAGGATAAAAAATATATTAAATTAAGAGAAATGGGACTTAATATAGATAAAAGAAGTGTACCATATATTATACATTATTATGATGAAATTTTAAAAAAATATAAAAATAAAAAAAGTATAAGTATAATATATTGGGGTTCAATTCAATTTTAATAGTAATAGAAATTAAAATTCAAACCAAACTTGAGTATATAATGTGATTTTTTTCACTCTTAATTTTATCGGTTATCAAAATTGTTAATCAATTTAATGGTTTAAAAATAGTTTGGTTTGGTTTTAAAAATCCTTTCTATTTTTCTCATTAATTAATAATAAAAAAGTACATGTTAGAATTTTTTGCAAGTTTCCAAATATGTCCTTAAATTATTTCATTTATTATCTTTCATCATTAAATGTTTTTCATACTTATCAACAAAAAGAAATTAAATACTAATTAAGTGGAGTCATTGATCAATAACCAAAAAGGAAAACATTAAAAAGACCCCCCTTTCATTTGCAACGTGGTAGCATTACCAACGTAATAAATCAAGTGTAAAATAATTTATGAATATACAATTTTAGTTTAAGTGTGTAAAATAATTAACGTTAGTAAAGACAAGGTATAATTAGAGAAATAATAACTAATATAATTGCTAATTTTTAAAATAAAAAATAGAAAATAACAATTAGTAAAAAAAAAGATCATAATACCTTGATTATTTAAGATTACCTATTTATTTATGTTAAACTATATTATAGAAATACTTAGAAACGCTATTTTTAAATACAAAAAATTTTAAAGCGTGTTAAGATGTGATATTTTAAGTGAATAATTTTTTTAAAAAAATATATTTTTATAAGTTAAAATTTTTTATTTAGATGTTTAATTTTAAAAATTTTACTGAAAAATTTTAATATATTAAAATAAATTTTTTTAAATACTAACAAAAGAGTGAGAAATTTGAATTTTTTTTATTATATATTATATTTATTTATGTTTATATTTAATTTCAATTAATTTAATAATTTAAAATTTATATTTTTAATTAATTTTATCAAATATAGTGATTATTTTATTTTTTAAAAATACAAATAATTTAATTACTCTATTCAAACAAAAGCATTTTAAATGAAAAAATCAATTATTTTATTTAAATAAAATATTTTAAAATAATAAAAATTTAAATGATATAATTTAAATTCATTAAAATTATTAAAATTTTAATTTCTCTAAAATTTTTATTTACTTTGTGAAAGACAACCTCAATATCTTTTTTGAGGCTTAAAGACTAAAAT